GAAATTAATTATAATTACGGCCTGTCCAAATCTAAATGTCGTTTAATCCGACAGCAAAAATTATTTATATTATGGCCTGTCCAAATCTAAATGTCGTTTAATCCGACAGCAAAAATTATTTATATTATGGCCTGTCCAAAATTAAATGTCGTCTAATCCGACAGCGGAAATTAATTTTATAACTACGGCCTGTTTAAATTTAAATGTCATTTAATTTGGCAGCAAAAAGTAATTATAATTACGGCCTGTCTAAAATTAAATGTCGATTATTTCGACAGCGGAAATTAATTATAATTACGGCCTGTCCAAATCTAAATGTCGTTTAATCCGACAGCAAAAATTATTTATATTATGGCCTGTCCAAAATTAAATATCGTTTAATTCGGCAGCAAAATTTAATTATAATTACGACCTGTTTAAAATTAAATGTCGGTTAATCCGACAGCGGAAATTAATTATAACTACGGCCTGTTTAAATTTAAATGTCGTTTAATTCGGCAGCAAAATTTAATTATAATTACGGCCTGTCTAAAATTAAATGTCGATTATTCCGACAGCGGAAATTAATTATAATAACGGCCTGTCCAAATCTAAATGTCGTGTTACTGATCTTCGCTCTGATTGGCCAAATTGCAATCCAGTCTTAATCCAAATTTGTGGTGTGACATAGGCTTTATAGGTTTGGCCGCTCTCTCAATTCACGGTCCGTTTCATGCTTAATACTGCATTTATCTGTAGCATATGTCACGTATACTATAGATAAAAATGTGCTCTTAAGCATGAAACTGACCGCAGCCAATCAGTCTTTTCTATTGGGCGCAAGCATAGAATGGCGCAAGTGATAACTGAAATTGTTGCCATGAGAACCGACCTTCATAATTTATTCGAAAGAATCCGCAAACCGCGTCGCAAGACGTTGTTTCTAATCGTTTCTGCGACCTGAAATCGGTATCAAATTCTGAAAGGTTGAATCTTGCATAGGTATCGTTAGTTATAACCAAATATGAAAAATTTGATAAGAAAAACTGCGGAAAAAAGCGACGGACGTGGATCTCATGGACAGGCCTATAAGGACAAAAGCAAACCTACAGACATTCGCAGCAGCAATATCTGTGCTGCGAAGGGTAAGTTGACACACAATTTTTGATTGTCAAGATGTGCATAAAACGCTAATTTAAAATCTATACCGACTATTTCCTTTATGTGCATGTTTAATCGTATTCCATCAAATTTGATTAGTAGGCGGAAGTATATGTATCTATAGATTTACTTTAAAAAGACGTTCTGTTAAAAAAACTATTCTGTTTTCTTTCAGTAAAAACTGGTTCATAAGTCGGTATTTGTGATTGGATCATATTTAAGATCTCTACTATGAATATTGGCTATAGAGACATTACTTAGAGACAATACTTATATGATTGTTGTACATGATTTGTTTTCTTACAGCTGTTAGTGATGCCATTCGTACAAGTTTAGGTCCCAGAGGAATGGACAAAATGGTATATTTTGTATTTAGTAATAAATATGTAATAATATAGTTAATTAAGATTTATATAATAATGTTAATTAATATGTTTTCTAACAGATTCAAGCTAGTAATGGAGAAGTTACTATCACAAATGATGGAGCTACGATTCTAAAAGAGATGAATGTAGTGCATCCTGCCGCAAAAATGGTAAAGAAAATTACATTGCTTGAAAGTTTTATAAAATTTTGTACATTATATTGTAATAAATATTTTGTGTTTAGCTAGTTGAATTATCTAAAGCTCAGGATATAGAAGCTGGTGATGGTACTACAAGTGTTGTTGTAATATGTGGTTCGCTCTTGGAGGCAGCAGATCGTTTATTACAGAAGGGTATTCATCCCACTTCTATTAGTGATGCTTTTCAGAAAGTAGCATCCAAAGCAGTGTCAATCCTGACAGATATGTCCATACCTGTTGATTTATCAGACAAAGAATCTTTGATGAAAGTTGCAGCAACATCTCTGAATTCTAAGGTATATGTGATATATTTTTTTCTTGAAATTTCTCTCTTTGTATAAAGACAGTTTATTGTTACATGCTCGATAAATGCTTATTATTATTATTGTTTTTTTAGGTGGTACATCAACAATCTAGTCTTCTTGCACCAATTGCGGTGGATGCTGTATTAAAAGTTGCAGAAGAAGGAAAAGAAGCATCGGTTGACTTAAAAGTGAGGACAAATTTTCTGTACATGTATCTTTTTTTATTATGATATGAAAATATTAATTATTATCGTATATATTATCTTTGCAGGACATCAAAGTGATAAAGAAGTTGGGAGGTACTGTTGAAGATACTGAGTTAGTGGATGGATTAATATTTACAGAAAAATCTTGCAATGTCAATGGTCCNAAACGCATTGAAAAGGCCAAAATTGGATTGATTCAATTCTGTATTTCGCCACCAAAAACTGACGTAAATATTGCTATATAGAACCAATCTCATATATCTGCACAGACAATGAATAATTTTTTAAATTTTTAGATGGACATGAATGTTATTGTGTCCGACTACGCGGCAATGGATCGTGTTTTGAAAGAGGAACGCTCTTATATATTAAACATTGTAAAACAAATNAAAAAAACCGGTTGTAATGTACTTCTCGTGCAAAAATCGATCTTGCGCGATGCTGTCACCGATCTCGCGATACACTTTCTTGATAAAATCAAGGTTATGGTGATAAAAGATATAGAACGCGAAGACGTTCCGTTTGTCTGTAAAACGCTGGGTTGCAGACCAATTGCATCGCTGGACCACTTTGTAGCTGAGAATCTTGCCAGCGCGGAACTTTGCGAAGAAGTCCAAACTGGAAATTCAAAATTCGTCAAGGTACGTCTATTTGCTTTTCTTCTTGAGATTCACAAGTTAAATAACTCTCCGATATTCTTTTTACAGATAACAGGAATTCAAAATCGCGGGAAAACTGTTACAGTTCTTGTACGCGGAAGTAACAAATTAGTTTTAGAAGAAGCTGAAAGATCGTTGCACGATGCTTTGTGCGTAATTCGATGCTTGGTAAAGAAAAGAGCGTTGATCGCTGGCGGTGGTGCACCCGAAATTGAATTAGCGATCAAGTTAGGAGAGTATGGATTGACTTTAGGCGGAGTTGACGCCTATTGTGTTAAAGCTTTCGCAAGTGCGCTTGAGGTTAGTGTTAAATGTATTGTTTTTTTTCTTCTTTTTATAGAATTTTATTTTAAATATACGTGCAAATATTTATATATAAAGGAAAATTCGAAATTGTATAAATTTGTATAGGTAATTCCGTCGACGTTAGCTGAAAATGCAGGATTGAATCCGATAACTACGGTAACCGAACTTCGCAATCGACACGCAAAAGGCGAGGTAACTGCAGGAATTAACGTAAGAAAAGGTGCAATCACTAATATACTGGAAGAAAATGTGATTCAACCTTTGCTGGTTTCTATCAGTTCGATAACTCTCGCTTCCGAAACCGTGCGCAGTATACTAAAAATTGACGACATCGTTAATACGAATCAATAAATCACGACTGGTTCGATTTTTTTTTAAATCTTAAAAAAGCTTTTTTCACACGTTAAATCTAACATCTTTTAAACACGTCAGTATCGAGAATAAAATAAAAATGTAAAATTTTCAATTTAAACTTATATTTAAACATGTGTATAAAATGCTCTTATACAAGTGAAGTTTATTAAATTGTGTTGTACCCATAAAAAAAGTCATTTATCTTGTGTAAACATCCGCTCCATTATTAGGTTTTACTTCCTAACGTTTTATGTTAAAAAGGAAAAGAAAGGTGATATAAAATATATCGGAAAAATCGTATAAATCTTAATATTTGTCTGCTTAAGATATATACATAACAACTATATATATGATCGTCTTAACAATTTACTTAATTGAAATATATATAATCTCATATACATCTCAGTTCTTTTCTTCAAGCAAGTGTATAACTAAGTACATAAATTTCTTTTATATACGATCAAATATATGATCGAAGTATATTTTGCATTTTTTTTTTTGTTTTGTTTTGTTTTGCTTTGCAATTTAGCTGCACAGTCAAATATATTGCTTATATTGTATGATATTTAGACTTGATTCTAATAATAATAGCGTTGTGATTAAGTACGTTTGTAGAGTCATATAGCTACATTAGGAGACCTCTTCAAGAAATTCAGTATTAAAACCTTGAGTTTATAAATGCCTTTGTTTTTTTAGAATGTGCGTATAAGAGTTCGAAGAGTTCTTAGATAAACGGAGAAGAGGCTCTAGTAATGTAATTATAAAAGTCTAAAAGGATTACTTATGATTATTTGTTTGAAAAACAAACGGTAAAAATTGTATACTTATATACAAAATTTGACGTAAGGCAAGTTTCTGTAACAATAGAAACGGTAAAAATGTTTCTCTCTATAGAGTTTTACAGAAAGCTTACGGTAAACAAAAGTTTGTAAGTTTTTGAAATTTAAGCATACACTTATGTTTAATAATTTCATTTTTTTCACTAATATGTAGAGTTAGGCTTGTGTTCCATTAATTATTAAAATAATTATTAAAATGTACACAATTTCCACTTATTTAGATTAATATATAATGGAAATATATAAATGGAACATTTGCAAGTTCATTAATATAAAAATAAAATGTCAGATACCTCGTGTAATTAAGTACTTCACTCTTTCTGGAATGTATGTCTTATATATATATAAAATGTTTTTTTTTTTGCACACATTTCACTCTCGCATAAAACAGATGCGATAGATTCGAATTCGCTTCCTAGAATTAAGCATGGACGTTTTCAATATTACGTATGTCCAATTTTTTTTTAATTTTTTTGAATCATAATATCGTCTATTAAATCGTCACTATTATCAACAGCACTTGAAAAGTTTTTAAAACTATCTATTATGTATGTTATTATTGAATAATTTCAGATAATGAAAAATCTTGGCAGTAGCAATGGATAAACTTATTGTGTTTATAAATTACTTTTAGATATTTATAAATTTCTTAAATATAAGATATAAATTTGATCACCTGCTGATCAGTTACTCATAGTAAGGAAGAATGTTTAAATGAGATATGAGTAAATTTCTCTGTTTAAGAGAAGGATCACATATTATAGACGTAGTGTGTCGTCTTCATCGCGATTAAAACCAATGCCTAATAAATACTTTCAAGCTTTTTATATATATTGTAATGCTTATAAATGGCTTTTTAATTGTCAGGATAGCCAAGCGGTCTAATATAAATAATTTGCTTGATTAATAAATTATATATAATTATTGTAATTGGTATTATTGCACAATAATTAAGTTTTTACACTCCAAGAAAAATAAATTCCAATTATTTTCAGTTGTTTTTTGTTCGATGTACGTGTTAAAATATTTATAGCTTTATGCTCTTATTTATAAAATCTCTCTTTCTCTCCTTATCATTTCATTATCTTTTGCGAATTTGTAAAATTTTGCACAACTTATCGAATTTACAAATTTCCATGAAAAAAATTCACACAATTCCTTTTTTTTTTTTTTTTTTCCAAATTACCATCGTGGATGGACTTGATGGAACATCCATTGCTGATAAGCATTGTTTACGTCACAGGGCATCAGAGATAACTGATGAGTTTGAGGATGAAGCGCCATACATCTCTTATGTACTCTGTGTAAAAGTGTCTTTCTTTTCTGTAAATTAATGTATATATGTGATCTGATCTCTCTACCAGATTTTGCAAACAGGTTTATTTCAAAATTGAAAACGAAAAATAACGAACTTACTTCATCATATTGCCATGGACCGTCCACGGTTCCTAAACGACAAAATGAATATTTGACGCCCTGGCCGTCCGCTTCAATACATCTTTCACCGATGCCTAGTTGGCCCTTTTCATTTAGCCTCATTAGCTAAGAAATTTATAAAATAAAACATAAAATAACATATAAGATTATTAAGAAAATAATATATATATATATATATATA